GCGTCCTGCGGCTCTGCTCACCTGATTGCAGCGGCGCGTTCCTTTGCACTGCCGTGTACTGTCCCAAGCAATCGTAGCAGTGTGTTTTTATACACAAATATCTGAGAATTCCAGGTCCGACACAGCCGTACAAGAGAGGGAACATCTTTTAGATCTTCGCCTTTCTAGCTGGCGTGTGGCTGGCTGCGTCTTCGGCTGTTCTACTTGACGTTTCTCTGGCGGTGAATAAGAACTTTAAGCCTCTTTGTTTTTGTTATGGTGTGTCTTTCTTTCTCTTCTTTCCGGGACAAAATGTCTGACACTCAAAATTCAGGAAGGAAACGCTTATTTATCGCAGAGTCTGTGGCGGCCTCAGTCCGTACTCAGCTGGCTCCAAGGCAGAGTGGCTCGTGGCAGAGGGCAGCGTTGGTGGCGGGGGAACCGGCGAAGAGCGGAGCGAAGGGCAGCTGCGGCCGCCAGCCGGCCTCTCCCGCCTCGCACCCGCGTGCAGATCTGCTGCCGCACCACTCGCACCCCGATCCCAGGAATTAGTCACTAACCCCAGAAGCCGCCCCGCGGCTGCACGGGACTTTGGGGACACCTAGACACAGACTATAACAGGGTGTATTTTATCTGGTTAAGTGTCTATTCAAACATTTTGACTATTTTGTAACCTTTTATATTTAAATTATAGTATTGGGCTTTACTTTGGGTATATATTTTGAAATACTTTTTAATGTGTTTAGGCATGAATGCATTTCTGAATATAGATATATAATTATTTCTATGCCATCTCTAAAAATATTTTCTCTGCTAAACTGCTTTTTCATCTGTGCTAAAATTCCGTTCTCTATATGCGTGGGAACGTTGTTGGATTCTGTGTTCTGCCCTACTCATCTATCCATTTGTGATTCACCCTTTAGTGTGAATAATCACTACATGGCCCTGATCACTGCAGCCTTGTAAGAGTATAAAAGTGAGGTAACGCTAGCCTTTCTTTCAAATTTCTTTTTTTCATTTCAAAGTTATTTTGAGATCTTCCAGTTATTTCCACATTAATTTTAGAATCTTGGTTCATGGCATTGTACTGAATGAGAACAGGAGCACCTGGTGGAATTCTGGGAGTCCCAGCACAATGCTGAACAGGCAGGGTCTGAGCTCGGGTAGCTCAGCCACCCTGTGGAGTGCGGGACCCATGTCTCCCAGTTAGCCATGGATCGGCGGTAGTGTTACTGAAGCTGCCGTCTAGCTGGTAAGAACCCCCCACATGTTCCCAGCGTGCAGGGTTTCCTGGGGAGAAGTGGGTGTGCGGTCCAGTCCATCTCTGGGCACTGCAGTAGTTGTGGTTTTGAAGAGTAAGGGCGCTGCTCACTGCCCGTGCGTTTTCTGTGAGAAGCCTGCTATTGGCCTCCTTTCTGTTCCCCGCGCTTAGCACGTCTGCTCCACAACAGCTGCTTTCCCCTGACATTTGTACGATTTGATTACAGCGTGACATCGACTGATTGTCTTCATGTCTCTGGTGCTTGGGGTTGGAGGCTACCTGAGGCTGAGTTGGCTTTGTCTTTCAAATTTGGAAAAGCTGCCTATGCCTTCCAGTGTGTTTTCTGCTGCCCTCCACTGGCACACACATCTGGCCTCTGAAACCCGCCTGCAGCACGGGGAGGCCCTGGGCTCTCTTGTTTCTCTTTCTGCTTTTTCTTCTGCTTCAGTCTGAGTTGTTTCTATTGCTCTGCATTTAAATCCATTTTTCTTCCATTCTGTCTACTGTGCTACAAATCTAAGCTTCATATTAAGTATTCAATTTTCTATCTTAGAGACTCAAATGTGCTTTTTTTTCTGCCTCTGCTTAATTTAAGTAACTGTTTTGGTGTGATCTGCCAGTTTGACCATCAGGTCTAGATTTGATGCATAACTTTTGATTAATACGACTCAGCTGATTGGTAAGTGTTTCCCTTCATCAGGCACCCCTCGCCATCCTGAGGTGTGAGCGCCGTGCGCATCACACTGGCCATTTCTGCCTTCTCCCTCCCCCTCCCTTCTTCCCAGCACCTCTCCTGTCTGCAAAGATCGAGCTTGCTCTTCCTTACTAACTCTCTTTTATTTCACGCTTTAAATTATTTGTAATTTGAGTCTCTCATATTGGGAAAACATGGAATATTTAACTTTCCATGTCTGATATGTGTCACTTACTATTGTGACCTCAGGATCCAGCTGTTTCCATACACATGGCCCGAGTTCGCCCTCTTCGTGGCTCTCCTGTCCTTTCTTCGTCCATCCACCCACTCATGACCCTAGTTGAGCTCTTGTGAGTTCTGCCGCTCGCACATGGATGTGCGAGGATCCTGTCATACGCTCACTTTACCTCTTTCAAGAAGATGCCAGGAAGAGGGTTAGCTAGTGAAATTTAATTTCTGTTATTAGATTTTTGAGAACTCTCCATGCTGATTTGCATAGCAGTTGTACTCATTTACATTTTAACCAAGGAATTAGAAGAGTTTGATTTTTCTGAGTCCTTGTTAATAGCCATTCTTACTGGAAAAAGATATACATATGACTGATTTATTTCACCTGAGAGTACGGTTTCAAGTTGCATCCATTTACCAAGAAATACTTCAAATTTATCCTTCTTTATGACAAGTAATACTCCATTATATTAAAAAAAAATACACATCTTTTCTATCCATTCCTCAGCTGGTGGGCATTTGGGTTGTTTCCCAGATTTAGCTCTGGCAGACTACACAAGTGTGCATATACTGCTGTGGTATGAGTTTTATTCTTCTGGGAAGATGCTCAAAAGGGAAATACCTGGGTCAACTGGGCCCTAGTATTTTGAGGACTTCCTCAGTGTTTGCACCAATCTGCACCCCCATAAACAGTGAGTGAGGAGGGGCTCCTTTCCCCACAGCCCGTCCAGTTACTGGTTGATTTATTGATAACAGTCATTTTTTCTAGAGTGAGATGGAATCTTAGCATTGTTCCAATCTTCATCTCTCTAATAACCAGTGGTGTTGAATATATTCTCTTATGTTCATTTGCCATTGATATTTCTCCATTTGGAAGTGTGTATTTATCTCAGATGACCATTTCTGGATTGGGTCTTTAAACTGAGGGGTCTGATTTTTTCCAGTAGTGTGGCTGAATATACAACCAACACTCAGAAATCATAACATTACTGTACACAAACAACAAACTCA